GTAAGTATCATTTAGATCAGTGTAAGGATGATAACCTTAGTTTCACTGTACCCTGGAAATTATCATGTTAAAATGAATATCATTTAAGACAATGAAAGGCTGATTATCTTAGTTTCAGTGTACCATGAAAGTTATCCTGTTAAGACTTATCTGCAGTGTAACCTGAGAGTCATGTTAAAACAGTGTAAAAGTAATAATTATTACGAACACGTGGTAGTTTAAAGTCCTGTAGCACCTGGTCAGCAAAACGTGACAATCAGCAAGGGAGAATACAAGGCAATCACAGCAGGGGTAGAATTCTTTACTAAGGTTAGGTTAGGTTAGATAAGGTTTCGTCAGGAAACAGGGCAAGCGCTTCTTGACGCGTGTCTTAGTCATATGATGACATAAAGATAGAGCTTTTGGTCATCTGACCAAGGCTGTCCGCTGGCTTACCAGTTCACCCTTTTAAAAATTAAGGTTATACTTATAACCATTTATTTTTTCTTTGTCAGTATATTCCTTCAACACTTATTTACATTGTATGCAATATTAATACAGTGCAGTCAAGTAGCATTCAAGACATGAGTGGAAACGACCAGTGTCTGCGGAAGTCTGCCACTCAGCAAGGTCGTAAGGAGTGATGTCACCATGGCTAAAGTAGCCGCCTTCTACATGACTGACGGATTGAACTGGGCAGTAAGTGCAGCAGTGGGGCCCCAGAACTGCTACACTCTGAACTGCCATTTCTCTGGTGGACAGGCCTTGCCAAATAGTTGTGTGAGGAAAGTCAAATAGAAATATAACATAAATCGGTGCTCGCCTAAATACTCTTAGTTTCGCTCAACTCTGAGTATTATTTATGTGACATAATCAAGTAGATGTTTAATCACAAAGATTATAAATTGTATACCGATTGTTCTTGCAAAATATGCAGGATGAAGGGTATAACTGGGGATACTTCCTGAAGGTGCAGGATGAAGGGTATAACTGGGGATACTTCCTGAAGGTGTACAAAGAAGGGTATAATTGGTAATACTTTCTGATGGTGTAGGAAAAAGGAAATAACTATTGATATTTCCTGAAGGTGTGGGAGGAAGGGTATAACTGGGGATTCTTCTTGAAAGTGCTGACTGAAGGGTATACCTGGGGATACTTTCTGAAAGTGCCGACTGAAAGGTATAACTGGGGATATTCCCTTGAGATGAGTAAAGGGTATTACTACGGATACGTTCTTAACGGTATAACTGCGTATACTTCCTGACGGTTCTGCCTGGACGGGTGAAACATCTGTGTTATTATATTTAAAATAAATTCTAACCCTGTATGGGTGATATAGTGGTAAGAGACTTATTAATAAGTATGATTGTTTAACTTTCAGGTAAGTGAGAACTACCAGCTGGCTGAGGGACGGTCCACACAACTTGAAGGTAAGTTCTTGTTTTATACCAGTTTTCATTGGCATTATTTTACAGTCCAGCCATAGGCGAAATTTTGTCTTTATCTCCATCGGTTTACGCAGTTAGCAAGTGGCGCCTTTACGAATGTTCAGAAAGAGAATTAAAAGCATTACTTGGCAATCTTAATATAATAGTAAGATATACCCCTGTTATCGCATCAGATTTCCTAATTCCCCACTTAAAGATATCATTAAAATCTCATACTTTCCCTTGATGGGCCACCGTGGCCAGGTGGCAAAAGCTCATTCTTCACACGGTGAAGTCCGGGTTCGATTCCCTGCGAGGGTAAAACACTGGAGGGTGTTTCCTTACACCGGTTGTCTATGTTCACTCATCAGTAATAATGGTTACCTGGGAGTTTTTTTATTTTTTTATTTTATTTAAAACCAATACAGTATACATAAAAATTAAAGGACACAGTATGGATCTCAATCCTGAAGGTTCGGCCATTGACATAAGAAACCTAACACAAAATAAACTAACACAAATGGATTGCACCTATATACTCGCAAGATATAGCTGTATAACATACAAAAATAACGTACGCCAAGAACATAGCTACAAATAAACACAGTAACAGGGTCATGAACTGACATATATAAACATTCAATGACTCAAAACCTAACTTACATATAAATTTTACATATAACATGACATATGACAAAGACTCATTTAAAATTTGAAAAGAATATGTACGAGAAAAATGTAACAATTACTTCCAGCCTTCACTTTAAAATCAATAAACCAAACCTAACATCATAATCCTACTAAACTCTAAAATACTTATCCCTAACTACGGCTTTACATATACCAAATACAAATAAACATACAAAGAAAACAGCTTAGATCTAAAAAACCGACTCATTACAGTTACAATAAACCCGTATACAAAAATCTCAGACACAAAAGGAATGCGTCTATAAACGGGCTAGATATATCTGTATACCATACAGCCAAAACTTACGTCAAGAACATAGCCAAGAAAAAAAAATATAAGATGCTGACAGTCTATAAGTACATCTAACATAAAAAAAACCTAGAACATAAACATAAACAAAAAAAACACTTCATATGGCAAAGAACAATACCGTTGTATAATGCTATACAAGTACATTGAAATGACAATTAAAACAAAGAAAACGAAAAGGGAACATACAACAAGCATGTGTTGAATACCTACAAACCTACACATCACATACACCACAGTATTATCTTTGTATAACACCTTTGAGGACAAAAGGAGAATCCAGCCCATACTTAGATCATCCCTTGGGGTCACCTCAAACCATCAAACACACAAATACTGTGAGATGTACCCTCTCACACATTATACCCCACAATAATGTAGTGCAACAACACTACTTTCATTTTATATTCAATACCTTCTTAAAAACAATGTGAATAACATATCTTACACAACTACCCAGACCAAACTCACATCACAAAAGAAGCTTATTATATTACCAAAACATACCACAAAACGCTAACATCTATACACATTTCCATACTCAAGAAAACTAGCCCGCCGCAACCCCTTACTTTACACTTAAATCTCTTAAATCCTTCAACCTGAATCTACGATAACCTTCAGTAAATGCTGTCTCCCATCTTCCCCCATAAAGATCCCTATTGCGGCACTTTGTTCTATACATCGTGGCCCTAACACTCTTATCCTTTCCTCGACTCCCACCTCCCTCATTGCCCAAGATATAAAAATAAAATCAGTAACCACATACGCAACCGCATTCACCACCTGCTGACTCCCCCCACCTATATCTATACTTAACACCCGCAAACCTGTAACCCTTCCCCACCCACTAACCTAACTACCCTACTTAGCCAAACCCTCACATCTTCTAAAAAAAGTAAAAAAGTACACAGGCGTGAAATATAGTTTCCGGACATCCACACGCTTTGCACTCCCCACCTTCCTTAATCTCCTATTAAATAACACAACCCCAGACGGCAAGATCCCAGGGTAAAAACCTAAACATAACCTCCCTGACACTTGGTTTTACACGTAGTTGTTGAAGACATTTCCATACAGAACCCCATGCATACATAGGGATGCCCCTCAAAATGCCGGCCACCACAGACCCCCCCCCACCCTCTCAAAAACCTTCATTTAAGCTGTTTTGGATCCCTTACCTTCAGAAAACTCGCAACATAGCCCCCCAAACATTAAATCCCTACCCCTCCACCACCGTTGCATATCCCTGCGCATTCTTTAAGGCCCCCCCGCCACCCCCCCCTCACAAACCCCCTTTTTCAAACACACTCAACATACACTTCTCAAGAGGTATAAGCCCCAGCCCCCCCCCCCCCCCCCACCGGCTAACGGGAAGCGGACACCACCCTCTACTTAGCCAGTCACAAACCGATCCCCCTAAATCTGATTACCCGCAGTTGCAACGTTTCACCTCACACCGTCCTAACGATAATTTTCCACGACGTGCCTAACTTGCTATACAACAGGACATTCGTGACTATAACCCTTTGATGCAACGTAATTGCTCTGGGCCCCCAAACCTCCCATCTTTCAAACTCCATACACGTTGCGCTCGATTTGCCCTTGTGCATCCCTATTCACCCGCATGTAACTACCCACATATCAAAAACCAATGGAATAAGCACTCGTGACTTTTTTGGGTTATCCTAGTTCCTACACATATCTGCATGTATGTAATCTAGTAATGTATTTGTGATACCGAATAAATACTTACTTTAAAAACTACCACACGCCACCCACCCTCAACAGTCTCACATTATGTACCCTATCCCCTTTGATCCAAATACTTGGACTTTACTACATTTAATTTTCATCCCCGTAGCTCACCAAAAACGTCTTCACCTCACCTTATGTAAATCCCACATCCTCACAAACAGGGCGTTTCATCCACGTAACCCACTAAAACCCGCTTTCCCTTTCTCGTGCAACAACCCTCCTCTCGCATATAACTCCACTAACTGCCCTAAAAAGGTTCCTGAGACCCTGCAAACAAAATTTGCGACAAGGGCATCCCTTGTCGCAAACCCCTTCCATCTGTATGCTACACCTAGTCGTCCATTAACCTGTAATCTCATTTAAATCACCCCGATACAAAGTTTTTGCCAAAACAATTTCCTCCGAAAACTCAACCAAAACAACATAAAACTCCATAATCATCCTTTCACGCTATAAAAAGCAGCCTCCAATCCAGAGCCAAAAAAACCCCCCCTCCCCCCCCCCCCATTCTCTTAAAACTCCTAATAACCCAAACCTTCATACATTGCTACCCGGTATCCAAAATTGTCCCCTATCAATTAAATTTACTAAAACTGTTTGATTCTGTTCCTAATACCTTGCAATAACTTATAATCACCGCAAAATAAGCGATATTGCACGGTAATCTTCTAAACCCGGGGCTGTCTCCTTCGCACTAATAAAACAACAGCAGTTTCCCTTTTCTGTCAACAAATTGCCCATCTTCCTTCATTACATTGAACAATCTGACTAAAAATCACCTCAATAAATTCCCAGTTCTTAACATAAAAATCATTAAGGGAACCGTCTACACCGGT